TCAAGAAAACCTCCAAACTTCGTTTATCCAAAACTAAAGAAAAAAAAAACTCCCCATGCAGACCTTGACGGACCTCGTCGACTGCATCGGAATCGAGAGCTGTGTCGACATGAAGCCCGACTTTTCCGACGTTCTCCAGCGCTCCGGGCCCACACCGGCCCGTTTCCGAATCCGGGATTTTGCCCGGCCGGAAAAGGAGTACCCGCCGCCAATGCAGCCACCGGCCACCGTGCTGAGGAGGTGTCAAGCGGATGACGGAAGGCTCGTCATCGTGGAGGAGAGGCTCGAGCGGCTCGGCCAGTTCCGGGCCCACAGGTCCGGCGGCCGCCTCGTGCTGAACCTGCTTTCTCCGATGATCGTCGGTAAATCCGAGGATATTGGCGGTGATGGGGTCGTCGGCGGTGATACGACGGCGGATAATGCGCTGGCTAGCCGTGAGTGCGGTGGACTTGCAGCGGTGGCTGGGCTCGGGCTCGGGCAGCCGGTTCTGACATAGGCTGCCGTTTTTCGTGTTTCATGTATCGTTTTTTTTCTTTATTTTTATTTTTTTAGTTGGGCTGTACCAGATGGTTTCATTAATAAGCATGTATTTTTTTTTTTATTTTTTTTTTGGGTAACTTCAGTTTTTCTCATGCAGAATAAAGATTTTTATGTGACTTATTTTATTTGTTCTGTTTTGTTGCTGATATTAAGCAGTGGTGTTTGTAAATTGAAAAATGTCAAAATTATAAATAAAAATAATTGATCCAATATAGAAAGATGTTGGAATATTACTTGAGTTGTCCCACATTGATTATATAAGGATAATAAACCCAGTATATAAGTATAGTGAGCTACTCTCTACTCTTCCATCACCAGTTCGTTTAAGCATAACGGATTACTCCTCCCATTATCAATTGGTTTTAGAATGCAACCTCATTAAAGTGCATCTAGCTAGGTTCACCCTCTTATGGTGCGATTCACCTTGCGGGATCGCACCCGCATCTAGGCTCACCCTCTTATGATGCGCTTCACCTTGCGGGACCACACCCTCTTCCTCCGGCTTTAATAAAAGAAACGAACTAATTCGAGTAGAAAATATTTTATACTATACCAGTAGAAAAAAATATATATATGTATTTTTAATTTTGACTCGTTGAACATATATTATTTTAAGGAACTATATGATTGAATACAAATTTTTAACTCAAAATTCTAGTCAAACTGTCGCAAAATATTATAAATATAATTAAATAATATCAACGAATCGTTACAATGTATAAAATCTCTTTACTCTTTATTTATTCACATATTTTTAACTACTATTTAAATTAATTATTTTATTATTTTTACATTACATCAACTTTGACTCATTTTTATTTTACTTCGATTTTTATGCATACATCACTAAAAAAACCAAAAACTGAACTTGTAAAAGATAATAATCAAATCACACCGAAGTGTAGAAAAAATAGAAACCAAACATAACCAAAACATTTTTCAAGATAAAACAAAAAAAGAACCAAAATTTATCGAAATGCATGGTTTGGCTCGATTTTTCTCCCTCCTATTTAATGTAAAAATTTAAATTAATGGATAAAAAAAAAGAAATTGAAATATTTGGAAAAACGTAGTGTGTTTTTGGGCATAAATTATAAATGTGAAAGCTGGCTGACGGCATTAGCTTGCATGCACCTCTTGCACTCTCACATTGCCGAGAGAGGAACAAGTGTCCCATACTTTTTAAACCCCGGACATCGATTCGGACAGGTCTTCAGGTCACCGGGTCACCAGTTTAATCATCCGGTCACCGGGTTAATTGCTGAATCAGATAATTAATTTTAAAATTTTTAAAATTATATATATAATAATTTTGACATATAAATATACATAAAAGTAACAAAAATAAATTTTTTGTATACAAAATTTGTACATTTAAGTGTTAATAAGATTGAATCTCACAATAAATATTTACTATGTCATTATATAAACATAATTTTTATTTTTTATATAAAAATAAAAATAAAAATAAAAGATGTATAGAGACCGGGTCAACCGGGTTAATCCCTTGGGTCAATGATTTGGGTTGACCAGATTAGCTGTGTTTTGACCGGGTTTGACCGGGTCCATTGTTACTTGGTCCAAATAACCCGCTCGGACCGGTTTCGACACCGAGTCGACCGGGTCCCGAGTCGACCCGTCGGTTCGGCTCACAAAACAATGCCTTGGGCCACAAAAATTTAAACAAAAAAAATATATATTTAGAGTAAAAATATTATTATTATATGTTTTAGAGTTTAAAAATTTCAGGTACATAAGTTACATATGATATATTTAGTAAATGTAGTCCAAAAATTAGGTGATAACTTATCATATATTAGTGTATTGTTTGGTAAACATTATAAGTTAGTTTATAAATTTTTATGTATTCAAATAAGTATAATTTGATATATCTTTTTTTTTATTAAGTTTGAACTAATCTCTTAAGTTTCCTAAACTGTTCGGAAAAACTCGTTGAATATTTTTTGTGTCAGTTGACTTATCACATAATTTTATCGTACACTATTATTATATCACTTAGTTTTTCAGTCATCAACCATAAGTAATCAACTAAGATTAAGTTATCAGTTAACTTATTTGGCTTTGCCAAACATACCCTATAAATAAATTTTTAAACTTGCATATGATTGCTGAAAAACTAGCCCATATAATAAATTATTTGAAAAATTAGCTGACAAGTCATTAGAAACATAAATTCAACCGTCTTTTTTAAGAAGCTACTCAAATAAGTTTATAATGAGATAATCTAGAGTTTTTTTTTTTTAAGCTTACCATACAACACTAAGTTTATTTAAATATAAAAAAATTATAAACTAACCAATTAAACTATAAATTAAATTATTTACGCTTACCAAATACGTTTTTCATTGTTATTTACGCAATAGTTGTTCTAATTTATTATATGCTCACTAAGTATGATTCCACGGAGCAATAAATTAAGTACGCGGCAATTTAACAGCGGACAACGGATGGCAGAAAAAAGTTAATTTGCTGTAATTAGGAATTACTGCATTATTAATATTTTAGTAGTGAGAAAGAAGGTCAATAGTCACGCTCAAAAGTCAAAACTAAGGGAAAAGTTGAGAGTCGGAACCAAAATTCTGGAGAATTCGATCATATCTATATGGGCATTATCGTGCAGCGGTGTAGGTATTACTGAGCTATTAAACGAAACGAGGCTCTCGTAAATTCAACTCAGGCTCATTAAGGATCGAGTTCGACTGGGCTCATTGGATAAATGAGTCGAACTCGAGCTTGCTTCGTTAACAAGCCAAGTTCGGCTCGACTCAGTATGATTTTTTAACTCGTTAAAGCTCAAGATCGACTAGTTAATATTCATAAACGGGCCGAACTCGAGCGCAATTTTTTACTGGTTAAGGGAGCTCGAGCTCGGCTTGACAGGTATGAATTTTACCAAAACCAGACCACAAGACAATAGTTTGTAAAACCTACTCAAGGGGTGTGTACAAGTGTCCATCCCTCACTTGAATTTTTCAAATTAAAAGCTAAATTTTCAGTAATATAGTCATCCATTTACACCATAATCTTTTGGTTTTGATAGATCAGGCTTAAGTAATTCCCACAACTGATGTTCACTGATCACTTTTTATTGGCCCGTGTAATTAGGCTTCCGTCTCTCGGCAAATGCAGCGAGACCTTCCAGGCGATCTTTTGTGTGCAAGAGCTGCTCATAGCAATCTTCCTCTAGAGCCAAACCTGTCGACAAATCAACCTCCAATCCTCCATCGATAGCTTGTTTAGCCATACGTATTGCCAATGGTCCCTGTCATTGATAAAGCACTTCATATCGATTTTCCTTTGATCACGAAAGGTGAAGGAATGAGGAAACTGAAAACTTTTACTATATATCAATTAGATAACAAAAAAGCAACCCTTAAATTCTTGCATAACGGAGGTGAAAAAACCAGTATGTTAATTAAGTTTATGGTCATTTTTCACCGAGAAGTGTGTTATATTTTTTTTAATGATCAGAAATACTGTATAGCTTGTACTACCTGCTTATGTGAGTGTCATGTACACCTCTATGTACATTATTATGTACCTATAGCATTTCTCATGTGACTAATAATATCTCCAAGGAAGAGAATATCTCATTCTCAATTTACCTTCTGATTTATATCACGAGCAATTTCAAGAGCTATCGACCGAGCCTCACCAGCAGGGACACAGTGATTGACAAGTCCTGCAAAGAAAATATAATATTAGAGTGCCTTCTTCACACTAATTGAAAAGCCGAGCAAATTATCTCATATGTGATATTAATATTAAATAAGATGAAAATAAAGACCAGCATGTGAAAAATCCAAGCTGATATACCCATGGACAATGCATCTCTGCCACCAATTTTTCGACCAGTAAAAATAAGTTCTTTTGCCATCGACTTTCCAACTAATCTAGGAAGCCTTTGTGTTCCCCCAGCCCTGGAAGACGCTTTTCATCAAAATTAGGCAGGTACACCTTAGAAGATATTTGCTACTTATTGAAGCACTTAATAGATATAGATAGTCATCAGTCCCGCTCACCTGCCCACGGTGGACAGTGCCCACTAGTTTGTTTTATATGAAAAACGTATTTTGAGAATACGTTTTTCAATTAAATTTAATTGAAAAACGTATTCTCAAAATACGTTTTCATATAAAACAAACTAGTGGGCACTGCCCACCGTGGACAGGGGAATATATTTAAGATAGTCATATAGCAACCAAATAACAATAATAATAATATTAATAATTATAAAATATCGAGGATGACATGGATGATGGATTCATACCCAGGAATAATAGCAAGTCCTGTTTCAGGTAATCCTAGCACTGCATCTTCGCCTGCGCCATCCACAGTGAAAGTACATAATTGCAAAAGCTTGTTTCTGTATTACACTCAAAGATGTTAAATTAACAACTGACCACAAATCCGAAGATCACAAGATAATGCCATTTCGAGCCCACCCCCCAGTGCAGCACCTTCGATAACGGCTATTGTAGGAATATGGAGTGTCTGGAATATGGTAGTTTATTTATGGAAGTTCAAGTATCGATTCATCTGATATTTAGAATGATGACAATAAGAGTGGTAAATTACATTAAAGGTAAAAAAAGATAAGTAAAGACCTCAAGATACGTGAATGTGGAGCGTAAAGAATGCACAAAATCCTGAACTTCAGATGGGGTCATCGTCCTTCTTTCCTACAAAATCATTATCTGAAAGTAAAGAGAGGGTCGAGGTGATTGGAGAAGTCGGCTCAAAATTTAAATTGAAAGTTAATTTTGAGTCATATTTAAAATCAAAATTAGAAAAATTCTAAATTTGCATCATTCTTTCCCCTGTTAACCTTACACATCATATTTCGATATACATAACGCATGATACAATTATACATAACTGAATTGATATATACCTTCAAATCAGCACCTGCACAGAACACTTTAGGAACTGAACTGCAGATCATCATGACTCTTGCTGTATGGTCATTATTAACAGCTTCAAATGTATACTGCAGTCCCCGTAGCATATCCTTTCCAATAGCATTTTTGGTTCCAGGCCTTTCCAGATTGACCTCCAAGATTCCTGCAAGTAATACATAGTTCAATTTGCCATTGGCAGCATAAAAATAGCAGAAGGCAAAATGTATGAGCTTGAAATACCAATAACCCATAATAAATAAATAGAGTGCAACATATACTGTCATTCAGGGGTAGAATTTTGGGAGCTGGCCCCGAACTTTTAATGCATAAAAGCATCTTAAAAATATTCTTATACGTGAAAGTACTCCAAATTGTTATTTTATATGAACATATATATATTTACATTTACATCTCCATTTATTACACTTAGAAGTCAGAACTAATATCAGATCAGTAGTTTGAGATGGTGTTTGTGTATGATTAAGCAGCCCACTTCAGAAAAGGCTGGGCTTCAGCTCGCTCATAACCGAGATATAAGTGAAACTAAAACGGGTATGTATCATCATTATAATTTATAAATATTATATAATAGCTAAAGTAACAAACCAAACTAAATAAACATGAGCGGTAGAAAATGCTCAAACACGCTTTATCATCATACAATCCTTATAAGAAAACATATCAATTCTCGCCGTGCGCCGTTTAAATTTCCCCTTATCAATGCCCACCTCATCCCTATTGGATGATCTATATATTCAAACATATCACAATTTTACACAATTTACTTCAACCCATTTTACCTTTCGCAGCACTTCTGTTATGAACACCCAAAGCAGTGGATACCGAGTAGTAATACACTATCTATCAGCTCATGTCAAAAGTTACCATTTCTAAATCTTTCATGTGAGAAATTACCATCATTCCATAGTTCATTATACCCATCTCGGTATGCCCGGTGGAGAAACTACAGTCACTGGTTTAGACATAAAACTACTTCAGCTGAAATCTTATTTCTTCGGTTCAAGCCAGTCGGCACACATTGACTACCCGAAACAAAACCACATCCATACACTATTTCCTTAACAACTCCGGCCAAGCTCAAACAAGCACCCACACACTTTCTAATCAGAGTTCAACCCAAAGCCCAAACACCCAGATTTCAATAACCCCCCAAGTTCACAAAAAATGGGCAGTAACGGACATCAAAAGATTTTTAAACCAAAACCATACCAAATCACAAAACTAGGAAAGCAAAAACAACCAAAAAAACTCTATGATCAAACACTGCACGATATATCATCAATTAAAATTAGACAGAAATTGGAAACTAAGCATACATCGGATAACGGGAACATTTACCGGAATCCGAATCGGTGAGTTTCTGTAACTTAACGGACTCAGAAGCCGACTGGAGCAAAAGGGTTCGAATGGTCTTGAATCTGAAGAGTAGCTGGGCAGTAGGCTGAAGCTTTGAATTTTTCAAGGATTTAGCTGCGGAGACGAACACAACCATTTCTCCTCTGTAACAGGGTTGATATGAGCTCTTGAGCTGGTGTTCGGACTCAGAAAATCCAACTAATAATAATTGGTCCTTGAAAATCCAATTAATCATTCGTCATGCACGAGGGAAAACGACCCGTCGCCTGAAAGCTACTCGTACCCGTTCATCTCCGTCGTGAGGGAAGAAGCCGAGAGGATTTGAAATTGGTAGGACTTTTGTATCTTCTTCGTTTTCATCTGATTCTTGTGGATTTGTGTGGGGGAGAGCTCTGTCGCCTGGTTAAGTAAACGAGATTGAAATCGAGCTCCAGTTCGGCTCCTTAAGGCTTTGAACTCGAGCCTTAAGGGGTGATTGTTTATGTTTTGATTAGTAAAAAATCTAGAATTTTTTAATTATGGTTAAGTTTAAGAAAAGGTAGTATAATTAATTGTTAGTGAATATATTAAAATAGTATTTAAAATAAAATAGTTAAAGTTAATTTGATGTAAAAGTAAGAAAAAATGATTAGAAGTGATAGTTATTTAAAATTAGTTAAAATTATGTGAGTAGATGAATAGTGAATTAAAGTTAATGTGATATGTAATAATGATTTGTTAATGTTATTTAATTATATAATAATATTGGAGATAGTGGGGTTGAGTTAAAGTTGAGTTAAATTTGAATTTGAGTAAAAAAAATTACTTTACAACTCATAAACAATCACCCCCTTAACGATCTCGAGTTTTAACTAACCTAACTATAAATTATATAAAAATTCTATTTTGAAACTTTATAGAGCTGAGCCGAGCTGAGCTCAGCTCGTTAGCCAAACAGGCTTTAAATGAGCTCAAGTTTGGCTAGTTAAGACCTCAAACTCGAACTGAACTGAGCCTTAACAAGCCGAGTCGAGTCAAGCTCGTTTAATTGCTACTCAGTTGGCTCCGTAAGGAGCAAACAGTTGCCTCCTAAGAGCATCTCCAATGGTGTCATGTCTATTTTGATATGTATGTTGTGGAGAAAAGCAATAAAAATAGTTTGTCTCCAATGGTGAATGTCAATTGTATAATGAATTGACACGTGTAATAAAATAATTGGTTGGTGTAGAAAGATATATAAAATAAATAATATAATATAAATAGAAGATGTCTAGAAGTCTTTCTACATCTAGAAAGACTTCTAGAATTTTTATATGCCACACTGGATTTTTCGGGATATGTGGCAATGGAATGAAAGAATGCACACTCTATTGGAGATGCTCTAAGCATTTTTGTATTATTATATTCCGTAAGAAATGGATAATTATGAAATTACAAACTGGCCATAGCAAAAGGGTAATGAAAAATTCAAAACCGATAGAGAGTGTCATTATACTCTCAAAAAATATCTGCAACACATAAATTGCCACGGCTCTCTTTGCTCCGTCGCTTCTCTCACTGAGCTCAACACCAGGTCTCTCTCTCTCTCTCTCTCTCTCTCTCTGTGTGTGTGTATGTTAGTGCGTGTTGTGTGTGTGTGCTCTCGTACAAGTTGCGATAGCATATAAGGGAAAAATTGGAAGAAATGAAAAAAAAAAAGCTACAGAATCAAGAAAGTGAAGAATTAATCAGCTGTATCTCTTGGCTATGTTGTTATCATGGCTGCTCAAACAGTGGTATCATCTTTTTCTATTGCCTTATTTGTTCTTGTCTGTCTTCGGTTTAAGGGGAGAGTATTGTTTTAATTTTAGCGGCCGCTGTTAGAAACATAATCTTTTTAGAGCTTTTGTTCTTTACTGTCAAAAGCTTTATTGACAATGGAGTTAATTTATTGAGCTGTAACTGTAATTGTACGACGAAACTTAATGTTGCAAGTTTCATATCAGTGAGTTCTTTGGTAATCTGGCTTATGGCCACCCGTAAAAATCCTACCTTTACCAGAAATCTAACACTCTGACTGATGTTTCTTTACATCTTTTGTGGTAGAAAACCAGAAAATTGCTGAACAGATTTGGGAAAATCGGACGTAGCATAAGCACATTCGATGTTCTCACCATCGTTCAATACCCGACATGTATTACAACATCGAAATCAACCACCCTCCAATTTGCCAAAACACAAAAAGTTCCTCCGGCGCACAAGCTTGAACTTGTCCATCATCGCCGAGGACTCGTCTTCCCAAAGTCATTCTCGAGATGGGCTTCTACATGACAACAATGCGAAAAATCGGCCCATGAGCTCCAGCCGAGCAGGCCGCTTGTTGCAGTCTTGTTCTGGTCTTGAAGAAGTAAGGAAAACACATGCTTTTGTTCTTAAGTTGGTGACCGATCGAGACCCTTTCGTCAGCAACAATTTGATTAGCGTGTACGTAAAGTTCGGTGACCTGGCTGCTGCCCGCCAAGTTTTCGATAATATGAACGAGCGGAGCATCGTCTCGTGGACCGCGATGCTCGATGGCTACCGTAAACAACACTGCACGCATTACGAAGCTCTGAACTTATTCGTTGACCTCCTCGAGAGTGGGTCCCACGCGAACGCACACACTTATGTTTGCCTCTTCAACCTCTGCAGCAGAACATCCGAAAAACGGTTCGGGAGGCAGCTGCACGCTCGGGTCGTGAAGGCCCGGGCAAGCAATATCATACTCGACTGCAGCATATTGCATTTCTACTCAAAGAGCGGTGAATTAACAACCGCTCTCGATTTATTCGACCGGATGGGAGAGCGGGATTTGATCTCGTGGACTACGATGATCACGGCTTGTTCGCAGCACGGGCGTGGACGGGAGTCTTTTAACATGCTGTCACGAATGATATCTAGTGGGGTCCAGCCGAACGAGTTCACTATTTGTAGTGTGTTAAACGCGTGCGGGGAAGAGAGAGAGCTGAAATTCGGGAAGCAGCTGCACGGCATTGTCGTGAAGAAGAACGCGTACGGTTCGGACGTGTATTTAGGAACTGCGCTCGTGGATTTTTACGGAAAGTGCCAGGAAACCGAGGATGCCCGTAGAGTCTTTGACGGGATGAAAATACGAAACGAGGTCACTTGGACTGCTATCATAGCTGCATACACGCGTAACAACAGCCTGGCAGAAGCGGCTATAGCACTTTTCCGTAAAATGTTGAGACTGAGAGTCCCGGATAATGATCTAACTATGGTTAGCCTAATTCAAGCCTGCGGCTTTCTCGGGGCACTCCGTGCCGGGAAGGAACTGCACGCGCGGGTTCTCAAGGACTCTTTGCAAGAAAATAATATTTTCATCGGGAACGTGCTCGTTTGGCTCTATTCCAAGTGTGGGGCCCACACGCATGCGTTTAAGGTTCTCAAGCGCCTGCCCGAAAAAGACGTGGTCTCGTGGACGACGATAATATCTAGTTGCGCTGGGCTGGGCCACGAGCAGGCGGCAATCGGGTACTTGAAATCGATGATGGGCCATGGGGTGGAGCCCAATTCGTTTACCTACTCTTCGGCTTTGAAAGCGTGCGCGAAATTGGCGGACGTGAGGTACGGGAGACTCGTCCATTCGTCTGTCAATAAAAGTCCGGCTGCATTGGCGAACGTGTTTGTGGGGAGTGCCTTGGTGCATATGTACTCTAGGTGCGGGCACCTGCCCGAGGCTGCCCTGGTTTTTGACGGAATGCCCGAGAGGAACCGGGTATCATGGCAGGCGATGGTCGTGGCCTATGCTAGGAACGGGCTATGCAGTGAGGCCCTGCGGCTCGTTTACAGGATGAGGGCAGAGGGAGTTGAGGTGGACGATTATGTCCTCTCGACTGTTATTAGTGCCTGTGGGGATTTTAAGTGGGAAGAAATGTCCTCGAAAGATGTTGTGTTGCAAATTTAATAGGACTGTCAGAAAATTCATATTTTTCCGGTTTGTGTGTTTAGCAGGAGTTATATGAAATCTGGAGGATTTTTTAAGCCAGGGGCTCGAGCTCTGCATCGAGTCGGTGTTTGTGATCTAAGGCTCAGACGATTAGGGAACAGAGAGATTTGAGATTGACCTTGCGGAGTTTGTTCGGCTCGATTACATGTATGATTTCTCGCCTTGCTCATGAAGTTTGTTCGACTTCTCGTACCGTTTGAGGACATTTTGAGGCACAAGGTTCGGATTTACTTTCATATTTCTGTTTCGTTAGAGAATGCTTTGCTACTATTCCATCGGTGCAACTTGTTTTTGAGCTTTAAAGCTAATGATGTCCTTGGTTAAGGGGTATTGAGAGGGGAGAGGATGGGTTTGAAAGAGTTTTGACTGTAGGCTTATGTTATTGTTATTCCAAGTCTTGAAAGAATGGGAAACTGAGACCGAAATCGACCTTGGACTTGGTCAGGCTCGGTTCCAAAAGGTGCAAACTCGATAAAGTTCGCTTATATGTATTGATTTTCTGAGAATTGTGTTTCGCTCGGATTTGCTTTCGGCTATCTGGTTCGATGTCAGAACTGTTCTGGAAGAGAAAAACGTTCGTTTTTGTTTTCATTTTCCGTCAAGATTCATGGTATTTTTCATGAAAAATGCTTGGTGTGTTCCCTTATCTTCGTTTTAGCTATGACAGAAAAAAGATGAGCAATGTTCAGTGTAGTACACAGTTGTGTACATACTGATCAGATTTACACTATCTTATAAGGTGAATTTGATCAGATTATATATTTAAGAGGGTGTATTCAATTGAGATTTTTAAGGACTTTTTAAAACTTTTTAAATTTGATGACTTTTGTAGACTTTGTAGAACTTTCATGACTTTGGTGGATTTTTTGAGACTTTCAGAGAATTTTCTGATTTTTTAAGACTTTCATAATGGATTTTTTAAAACTTATTGAGACTTTTATATACTTGCAGTTATAATATTATATTTAAATAAAATATTAATAAACGTAACATAATAACTAATATAGACAAGAAATAAATGAAAAAAGGATGATGTATATATTAATCCTCTAAAAATTTATGAATAAACTTATTTTTATGCGAAATGAGTTATTCACGAACAAATTGTTTAAGATTTTAGATTTATTAAACGAGTAAATCGATCCGAGCTTCAACGAGTCGAATCGAGCAAGGCCTTATATTTGTTTGTTAAAAGAGTATAAGCTCAAATATGTGTTAGACATCTCTGCTATAACGACACTTATAATCAACCCAAATTAAGATATATTTATTTAATTATTGATTGATTTTATTTTTTATATTTTTTTGCATAATTTTGTTATATTAGAAAAATATTATTAGGTTATATTTTTAAAAGATACAAACATTGCCGAAAAATAGTAATTGTATCTTATAAAATTATTAATAATAGTCAAAACATTTCAATATTAACAAATAAACTATTTGAAAATAAAATAATTTTTTTAGTATTTTGAAATAAACATTTACAAATAAAAAAACAAATAAATTATTTGCAAGTGCAACTATGGAAGCATTAATTTTTGAAAAGTCAAATTCACAAGATAGCAAACTTAGAGAATAAAAGTATATACACATAAAATACGCATAATAAAGAATATATAAAATAAAGAGGTCACATTAAAATATACATAATGAAAATAAATTACACAATGTATCAAAATAAATAAGTAAAATAATAGAGCATGAAAATTATATGAGATACAAAGTCGTGTTAGAAAGAAAAAAAAAGAGCGTGAAAAGAGTCACAAAAGTCCAGCAAAATTTCACCAATATTGATGAGATTTCTGTTGAAACTTTTCCTTTGTAATTTTGTTACAAAAGTCTCCAAATGTCTCAAAGTTTAAAAAGTCTCACAAAGTCTTTCTGTTTTGAATATCGGGTGACTTATAAAGACTCTCAGAATGTTTTAGTTGAATACCCTGAGACTTTTAGAGACTTATTAAAAGTCATTAAAATTCTCAATTGAATACAGATAAACTTTTTAGAAGTATTTAAAAGTTCTAATTGAATTCTAAAAGTTTTAAAAAGTCTATAAAAGTTGAAATTGAATACACCCTCTTTACTAGACCTAAACACCACGTACAAAATATTGTGCATATGTAGGAAGATACTACGGTCTCGTTTTGAAATTATTCTGTTGGAGTTTGTAACTATTAGATCAATTATCTCTTACGGGTTATAAATCCCGACAAAATAATTTGTTAATGGGACTTTAGAGCATGCTTGGATATAAATTTGTTTTTGTTTTGATTTGGGTTGGTTAAATTTGAAAAAGTAGGTATGGTTAGTTGTTAGTGGATATAATAAAATAATATTTAAAATAAAATAATTAAAATTAAATTGATGTAAAAGTAAGAGAGAGAAAATGTGATGTGATAGTTAGTTAAATTTATGTGAGTAGATGAATAGTGAATTAAGGTTGATGTTGTGTGTAAAAATGATTGATTGATATTATTTAATTATATTGATAATATTGATGATAGTGGATTGAGTTAAAGTTGAGTTAAAAAAGTGGTTGAGTTAAAAATGTTTGAATTTTTTTGAGAAATTTTTGTATCCAATCATGCTCTTAGCATTTCAGTATAGTAGTTTTTTTTTTT